TTTGGTATTGAGGTAAAAGTTACCTTGCATTCGCTATATAACAGTGGGTGGTGGTCACGAAGATGACTGAGCAAATTTTATGCGTCTTTTGCAGCGACTTTCTTCTTGCAAGATCGGCAGACAGGGGGACCGTCCTCGATTAAATTGCCTTCAGGACTCTTGTAAAAGCCAAAATACGACCAGACCACCGATTTGGTTCTCTTAGATGGCTGAAAAATCTCCCGAGCGCTGTCACTGCCTTCCGCCATTTCGTCTCGTGCAAAAAAAACAACAACAACATTGCATGCTGCTTCTGCGTCAGACTGATGCTGGCTGGACAGGATTTACCGCGAGTTTTCAAAAGCGCGATAATCAAACACGGTTTTGATGATAATTAAATTTTAAACGGTAATACGTCAGGGCATTTTATCGTGATTTATCGTAAAACCGGTAATCATTCCATCCCTAATATGGACCTTTTTATGATTTTGTGCTGTGATGTGGAAAACGTACATAATAAGGTTAAAGAAAAAAAAAAACCTCTAAAAAACTTCAATCAGTGAGCTTACTTACTCAACATTGTAATAGTCACATTCTGTGTTTGCTATAAACTGGTCCTGAGGCATACTATCAGCGTTACCGGTCTTCATGGGTCCAAAAAGACACCCAGAAATGTGCTACCCGGAACCGACCTGGACCCGTCAACTATTTGAAAGTTGGACCCAGACCCATGCAGAACCGAGAAGTGCCATAAATGTACTACCCGGACCCGGCCAGAAAACTAAAGGACAGCTGCTGCAACAATCGGTTTGCATAACCAAAGAATTTCTGTTATATATTTATAAATTTTTTTGTCTGAAAGAAGACAATTCCTGCATAGTAAACACCTAAAGCATAATAAGTATTAAGATTCGGGTTGTTGAGCGTTGATCGTCCTTCTGTGTGCTTCTATTCTATGGCGATTTGGTAAATGCAAGACCTGTTAATCAAAATCAATCCAATCCAAGAGCGATCTAGCTGTAAAACAGTCCCTGATTAGTCTTTACTCATTGTCCCTACTCACTAAACCCACCCACCATACCTGGGATCCAGTTTCTAGTGGTTGATCTTCCCTACGTTTTCAAATGATGTTGGAAAACATGGCCCAAAAGCCGCATGTGTATACTATTTACATGTACTTGGTATTGTTTGGCCTCTACCTGAAACAAATATTCTTGTTGAACACAAAACTTTATATTCATTTTCTGTTGCTTTTTTTCCCCACATCAGCAAAGAGGGTATCCATGGCCATGCTACCCATAACTCCGCCCGCTCTGCGTCTGACAGTTGAGGTAGCGCTTGTGTATATATTTTTTT